GCTTGTACGATGAAAAACCCACAAAAGGAATCCTTCCTTCTGAACCAGCTGAACAGGAGGCTGGGTTTTTTTTTTCCTAGAGCAGTGTTTCTCAACCTTGGCAACTTGAAGATGTCCTGATTTGAACTCCCAGAATTCCCCAGCCAGCATTCGCTGGCTGGGGAATTCTGGGAGTTGAAGTCCGGACATCTTCAAGTTGCCAAGGTTGAGAAACACTGCTCTAGGAAAAAAAAAACCCAGCCTCCTGTTCAGCTGGTTCAGAAGGAAGGATTCCTTTTGTGGGTTTTTCATCGTACAAGCGAGAGAAAATAATATCCCCCTCGGTTTTAAACAAGTGTGTTAACAGTGTAGTGTAAATCTGATCTTTATAGTGTCAAAATACTGTCTGGCAGATTCCGTAGACCAAAAAGTTCAATCGTCTTTCCTCCGAGAAAATAGTTAATTCTGCCGCGAAGGAAGACAAAAAAATACATTTCAAGGAAAAAAAAATAGCTTTAATCACAGACCTTAGTAGATTTGAGATATATAGATATATATATTTAAAAAAGGGGGAGGGTTAATCTGGAGTTGTCAATTATTGCATTTGTTCAAGCATGAAAAGATGGGTGTGAAGAAGCTGTCGGATGAACGAGTGCATTTTTAGACAGCAATGGGGGTTTTTTCCCCCCCTCTTCCTGGGTGGGAAAAAAAAGAACCCGATTAAACTGCTAATAAAACATTAGTATTTTTTTTTTTAAAGACGCCCACCTGACTTCGTAAGAAAAAAGAGAGAGAGAGAGGCCCGGTGGCTTCACATAACAAAAGCACAACAAATCCAAGAGGAATCAAAAGGAGCAGAAAAGTTTGGCAACGATTGATTAAGCGGAGCGAAAAAGGGATGGGGGGCGGGAAATAAGGCCTTTTATATAAGTTTGTCTTTTTTAAAAAGAGAGAGAAGGAAGGAAGGAAGGAAGAAGCTAACTTTTTTTAAACAAAGGAAAATATGTAAGGTGGGTGTTTAAGATAACCTGAAGGAGAGACAACCAATTTTTTAAAAAAAAAACGAATGCAGGAATGCTCCGTTATTCCAAGCAAAGCACAAAAGGTTTTTTTTTTTTTTTGGAGGGGGGTTGAGCAGAAGCGGCATTAGAGCAGCAGGCATTTTCTCTTCCTCTTCTTGACTGGAGGGGGGCACAGCACGGCTCGGATGGCTTCGTCGAAGACCGTCTTGAGGCCCCGCTGCGTAAGTGCCGAGCATTCTAGATATTTGACTGCGCCTACGAAAAAGAAAAGGAAAGAGCAGCTGAGGAATTCGCAAATCCTAAAATTAAAAAGCAGCAGCAGCCACGTTCCTGGCGGTGGGGAAGCAGGGAGACTGAAATGTGCAGCCTCACGAAAGGATTTAAGGATCTCGTTTCGTCTGTCTGCCAATCTTCCCTCTTTCTCTCATCTGTCCTTTTGTCAATCCACCTCGTCTATCAATTTATCTAAATCCAAGCAAATTATCGTACATTTTTCTCTTTATCTATCATCAGCTGGACTGAGTTCAGATGCCACCTCTCTCCCTTGTTCTCTGCTTTCTACCTGGTTTTTTTGGGAGGGGTGTGTGTGTGTAAAAGTTGTACTTCTCTCGCTGTGTCCTCTTTTATTTTTCTGTAGTTTTACTTCTGTTTGTGCTCTTTCCATTTCTTCCTTTTTATTGTTTGTAAGACCCCTCTCTTACAAAGTAAGAGATAAGGGGCAAATAATACATTTAACAAAAACGTAAATCTATTCATCCATATCTATTCATCACCCTATCTCATCTATCAATCTAACCCAGGAGTGTCAAACTCAATTTCATTGAGGGATGCATCAAGGTTGTGTTTGACCTCAGGGGGGTGGGGGGGCATGGCCGGGGTGGGTGTGGCCAGCTTGGCGTCACTTGTGTCAGGGACACCTGTGGTGTCCCGGGTGGGGCTGAGCGAAAACAGAATTCGGGAGGGTCACACGTGGCCTCCTGCAGCCGAAAACGGACCTCCGTTTTTGCTAGCAGATGGCTGCAGGGGGCCATCCCGGAGGCGGTGTTCAGCCCTGTCATGCTCCATTTTTGCTGGCAGAGGCCCCACGGGCCAGTCTTTCGCTATTTCCAGATGTGGCCTACGGGCCTTGAGTTTGACACCTCTGATCTAACCTATCATCTTTTTTCTCATCTGTCTATCCAACTCATCTTAACATGTGTGTATTTATTTATCTCTATATCTCATCGATCTATCATCTCTCAATCAATTTATCTTGTATCTTTAATAGGTATGGACTCCCAACTCCCAGAATTCCTGGCTGGAGGAACTGGAATTCTGGGAGTTGAAGTCTACACTACTTAAAATTGCCAACCTTGGAAAACACTGCTCTACAGCCTCTCTCAATCCAAAGAGACTCTAAAAATAGCCCTCCGAATGGGCCAAGGGCCTACCGATCTCCTTCGCCATGGCAAGGCCTTGTGGGTAGGTGATCGGCGTCAGCTTCTTCTCCTTGAGTTTTTCAATAGTGTCTTTGTCATCTCGGAGGTCAAGTTTGGTTCCCACTAGGATGATGGGGGTGTTGGGGCAGTGGTGTCGCACCTCTGGATACCACTGCGGAAGAAGGGGGGAAAATGTCAAATTGTTTTGCCTAGAAAATCAACACTGTCAAAAGAGATACAAAGCCAACTTCTCCACCAATGAGCCAGAGTCTTAAGTCATGCCACCTAACGGGGCACTCCACAAAAAAACCTCCACATAGAAACAAATAGAATGGAATGGAATAGAACAGAACAGAACATTGGAATGGAATGGAATAGAATAGAGAACAGAATGGAATAGAATAGTGAATAGAATGGAATGGAATAGAGAACAGAATGGAATAGAGAATAGAATAGAGAACAGAATGGAATGGAATAGAATAGAGNTGGATGTGGCTTCCCCATTGACTTTGCTTGTCAGAATGTCGCAAAAGGGGATCACGGCCCCCCCGGATAACTGCAACCGTCATAAATAGGAGTCAGTTACCAAGTGTCCGAATTTTGATCCTTTTGATCATGGAGATTTGTTGCAGTTACCAGGAAAAAAATGGTCATGTCACTTTTTCAACGCCCGTGTAACTTCCAACGGCTACTAAATGAACTTTTGTAAGTGAAAAACCTGGAGGTTTTTGTTTTTAAATTAGGAAGCAAGGAAAACAAAAGCAGAGTGGGTTAAGAGGCAAGGAAACAAGCCACAGTACAAAGCTCCAGCCTTGTTGTGTATCTGCACAACCGGCACCCAGAATTTAACCCACGAGGTGCTTAAATTCCCATCCCTGGGGATGGAGAAGAGTCCTGCAACAGGACGGCACATTCGATACACACCAATGCGTCTCACGGAGTCCAAACGGAAAACCCGGGTGTGGTTTAAGAATTTATTAAGTCATACATGCAAAACAGATTTGCTAAACTTGCATTACCAAAAAAGATCCAATGTAAAAACTTCACAATCTTGCAAACTCCAATTTATATATATTCATATTTATATTTATATATATATGTATATATTTGTTTCTAGTGATTGAAAGGGGGGGAGCGGGGGGGAGAGAAATCAACGCGTTCTTGCCAGCATCTGACGTACAGAACCTCACAGGCTATTAAACAGGGTTTCCTGGAAATGTTTTTTTTAAAAAAAGCGAGCCATGTCAGTGTTAGTAAAATTAATACAGCTCCAGGATACCTGGCAGATAAAGAGAGACATTAGCCAGAGGGGAAAAGGGGGGTGAATTTTTTTTTTTAAAAGAAAAAGTGAGTCGATCAGCTGCCCTTGATTTTTACACAGTTACCTTCAAGACTGACAAAAGCCTTTTAAACCAGCTACATAATTAGGACAGTTGGGGGGAAATAAAAGACAGAAGGCTACATTTGACTACTCTATCTTATCAAAAAAAAAAAAAAGTGGCTAATACAATTTTTTAAAAAAATGCTTTAAAATACAAATTAATATTTGGAAGAGATTCTATAAGAGAAGTATCCAGCAAGAACCATGTGGGAAAGGGGCCCAGCTCAAAATTGTAATAAGCTTAAAGTCCCACCAGAATCATATGAGTGAATACTCTAGGACAGTGTTTCTCAACCTTGGCAACTTGAAGATGTCCNAGGAAGGAAGGAAGGAAGGAAGGAAGGAAGGAAGGAAGGAAGGAAAGAAGGCAGGGCAATAGCAATCACACTTAAACTTACATACTGCTTCACAACCCTCTCTAAGCAGTTTACAGAGTCAGCCTCTTGCCCCTGAACAATCTGGGTGTTCAATCATTTTACCAACCTCTGAAGGATGGAAGGATGAGTCCAACCTTGAGCCAGTTAGGATTGAACTCCAGACACTGGGCAGAATTAGCCTGTAACATTGCATTCTAACCATTGCGGGAGGGAGGGAAGGCAGGCAGGCAGGCAGGCAAGAATAGCAATAACACTTAGACTTATATGCCGCTTTATAGTGCTTTCCAGTCCTCTCCAAGCGGTTCACAGAGTCAGCCTCTTGCCCCACCAACAATCTGGGTCCTCGTTTTACCCACCTCGGAAGGATGGAAGGATGAGTCCAACCTTGATCTGGTCGAAATCGAACTCTAGGCACTGAGCAGAGTTAGCCTGCGACACTGCATAAATATGAGTCGGATGCTTGGCAACTGGTTCATATTTGTGACCGTCTCCTTTTTGTGACCTGATGATCATCAGTGGGCAGAATTAGCCTACAATACTGCCTTTTAGCCACTGATACCCACAGCTCTAAAGATGAGGATATTTTGACTTTCTTCCTACAAGAAGAGAAGGGAATTGTGCGTAGAGGGGGGCCTTTGACTTACAACAGTTCATTTAGTGAACATTCTAAGTTACGACAGCCCTGGGAAAAATAACCACAACCGTCGCAACATCCCAACGGTGTTACTAATTTAGCACTCCCGGTGATTCACATAACTGTCGTAAATTGAGGACGACCTGCTCAGTTGTGGACCTACGACCACAGTTGAGCCCAGTGTTTCTGTCGCTAGGTGAAACCTTTGCCCAGTGAGTTCTGACCCATTTTTACGACCTTTCTGGCCACCGTGGTGACATGAATCCCTGCGGTTGTTAAGTTGGTCACACGGTCGTTAAGTGAATCTGGCTTTGCCATTGTCGGAAGGTCGCAAAAGGGCATCACCGGACCCCGGGATGCTGCCAATGTCGTAAATGTGAGTCAGTTGTCAAGCGTCTGGATTTTGATCACGTGATGCTGCAACGGTCGTTAAGGGGGACGAATAGTTGTAAGTCGCTTTTTTCAAGGGCCGTGGTAACTTCGGACGGCCACTAAATGAACTGTTGTTAAGTCGAGGACTAGCGGTGTATGTTAAATAAACACCTGCCTTTATTAATACTGCATTAATAAGTACTGCTTTATTAATGCTGGTCGTGAGTATCAATCATCCGTGACCCGACAAATGTGCGCCCAACAACAGCGCGCCGACAAAACCGCGGCGATAAAATCGCGATGTCGACAGCGGGCCGACGAATGAGCACAGAAGCGCGCCGACAAAAGAGCGCCAACAGAAGCACCATTATGGTTAAGGTAAGGGTTAGGGTAAGGGTTAGGGTAAGGGTTAGGTTTAGGGTTACCTTTAGGGTTAGGTTTAGAGTGCGCTTCTGTCGGCGCGCTGTTGTCGGCGTGCTTCTGTGCTCATTCGTCGGCGCAATTTCGAACTCGTGTTTTTCTCCCTGCGGTTTTGTCGGCGCGCTTTTGTCGAGCGAGCATTTGTCGGTGAACCTCAATCATTGGCTGCCCTAATTTTGTGCTTTCTTTCTTTCCGATTTCTTCTCTTTGAAGCAAATCCCTTGCGGACTACACAAAGCAGTTTATTGTGTCAGTCGTTGTGGGAAAGGACATTGTTCCCAGGTAAGAGTGCATAATGTGCCTTGAATCTCCCTTGAAATGCTGCATTGCCGATTAGTGTTGCAAGGCAAAAACGGAGCACAGAGTCAAAACGGAGCTTCAGAGTTTAAACCGACCAAAACGAACAAAACTGCTTCCTGCAAAAGACTCGTGTGCCTTTGCTGCTCCTTTACGTCTTATGGGAGGGGGCCAATCATCTCCAAGCCTTACTCCCGAGTCGCCCTTTTTGTCTTAGTTGTTCTTGCCTTCTGGGAGCTCTGCGCATGCGCGCACTGGGAACAGGCTCACACAGTTCTTCTGCCTCACTGATGTCTGACTCTGAAGGCAGCTGATAACTGTCAGACGGCCCTGGCCACCTCTCTGCCACCGGCGCAGAGCCCTCGTCCGAGCCTTCCCCAGACCCCAGGACTGGCCCATCTTCCTCCCCAACCTCCTCACTGTCCGAATCTGCTACCAGCTCCGCAGGCCGCCGGGGAACCACAACAGCCAGGCCTTGAATTTTGATCTTTGCTTCTTTCCGTTGTTGTACCCAACACAGGTTAAGCATGCTCAATTTGGAAGACCTGAAAAGGAGAATCATTCGAATCGTTGCCAACTGTAACAAACCCAAGGTAAAACAAAAAAAACAATTATTTTAGGATGAAAAATTAAGCTGGCTTTTAACTTTTTTCTGCTTCTTACTTTAGGCCTGTGGAGATTCTCAGCCAGCATGGTGGTGTTTTGTTTTTTTTTCTCTCTCCAAAAGACAACTTGACTTGGAAGACGTTTCGCTTCTCATCCAAGAAGCTTCTTCGGTTCTGAAGAAGCGAAGAAGCTTCTTGGGATGAGAAGTGAAATGTCTTCGAGGAAAAACACAGCCAAGTGGCCTTTTGAAGAAAAAAAAAACCCAGCATTTTGGGGTTTCTTTTTTTTTGTTTTTTTGTTTTGTATTCAAAAGTTTTATTTCTTTTAAAACACAAATATTTCANAGAATAGAATGGAATAGAATAGAGAATGGAATGGAATAGAATAGAGAATAGAATAGAATTCTTTATTGGCCAAGGGTGATTGGACACACAAGGAATTTGTCTCTGGTGCATAAGGTCTCAGTGTACAGAAGAATAATAAAATACAGTCATCAAGAGTAAGAAGATACAACACTTAGTGATAGTCAAGGTTACTAATAAGCTATCAAATCGTACTAGGAATCAATCAATATAACTCATAAGGATACAAGCACAAAGTTACAGTCATGGGAGGAGATGGGTGATAGGAACCATGAGAAGATTAATAGGAAGCAGAACAAACAAGCAAGAGTTCAGAGCTCTATTTCATTATGAGCTTGAATAATTTCTGCCTCTGGCTTTTGCCTTTTAACGTTAAGCACAGTGTGGCAAGCGGGATATCGGTTCTATTTCCAAAATGATTTCCGTCATTTAAAAGCCATTCACCGAACTCCTTGGCTGATTCCTTTTCCTCCCTATTAATAGCCTAGGTCGTCTCTTAAAAGGAGGGGAGGAGAAACAATAAGGATGATTTTTTAAACTCACCTTTGCACGGACATTTTCGAAGGATGCTGGGCTCACAAGGGAAAAGCAAATTAAGAACACATCCTGCAAAACAAACATCAACAGAACCTCAGTCTCCAGGGGGTTGATAAGATTTTCACATAACCGAGCTCCACGGAGGAGTTCTAATTGCCAAGGAAGAGCAATTTGGGGCTGGCTGGATAGAATATGTCAAAATTATGGCATTCAAAATGGTATTAAATACTAGCAGGCAAGAAACGCTACAAGAATGAAAGGACCCATTACATGGGTAACTTAGTCCTTCACACCATTCCATGTGAGTTTCTGTCTTAAAAAGGTACTGATTCCTTCTCTGCTGCATAGATTTTTATTTATTTATATCCCACCTTTGTTATTTTGTTAACTCAAGGCAGCTAGCATAATTAATGCTCCTCCTTCTTCCTCCTACTTTCCTCACAACGAGATCCCTGTAAAGTGGACCGGGCTGAGAGAGAGAGAGGCCAAAGTCACTCACTTGGCTTCCATGCCTAAAGTGGGACTAGAACTCACAGTCTCTTAGTGATTAGCTGAAGGTTACCCAGCTGGCTTTCATGCCTAAGGCAAGACTAGAACTCACAGTCCCCTGGTGATTGGCCCAAAGTCACCTACCTGGATTTCATGGCTAAGGTGGGACTAGAACTTAAGAGTCTCCTAGTGATTGGGCCCCAAGGTTACCCACCTGGCTTTCATGCCTAAAGTGGGACTAGAACTCAGTCTCCTGGCACCTTCACCACTAAACCAAACTACTAATACTGCACACTGTATTAAATCACACTCAGCTAGTCGCCCTCACGTCAATGTTCCATAAAGTGTCAGCCGCTGAACCAATACACAACTTTCAAGTTTTCTTTAGCGCCGTCCTTTAACGCAACTTGAGAGCCTGGAAAATAACCTCCCAACATTTATTCCAGAAACGAATCCGTGATTAGCCCACCATTCCCGAACGCCGTTTCTCAAACATCAAAAATCCCGCTAGGGCCTACACCACATCTTCCCCTGCGCATTGACAGCTGGGCTGTTACAAATCAGAGAACCCGGATTCTGGCGTGTTAGTTGATTTGAGCTGCAGCTCTTGGCCACCGGAGAGGCCTTCCCAAGTTAAGCATTGGCAACCGTCATTAAGCATGCATCCAGGTAATGGGTAGGAAGTGTGCATGCGCCCCATGAGTCCCCACAGCACCTCGCATTGGCTCCTGCCCAGACCATCTCCTTCCCATCATTCCCAGCCCCTTGGAAGGAAGTAGTTTTTGTAAATGCTTGGATTTAACTGTTTGTAATTACCTAGAACAGGGGTGTCTAAGCGTGGCAATTTTAAGGCCTATAGCAGTGATGGTGAACCTTTTTGGCTCAGAGTGCCAAACTGGAACGCAGGTGCCTGCGTGCGCCAGCCAGCTGGTCTTCGGGTTTCCAGTATGCATGCTGGCCAGCTGGTCTTCATCAGCGCGAGAGCACCAAAAACCAATGGCCATCTGGCCCACACAGGCATGCATGTTCTTTGGCATTTTTGGCTGTTTTTCCAGGCCGTTTATGGCCTGAAAAATGGCCCCAAAAGAACCTCTTTTTGAGGCCGTTTTCTAGTGCTCTGGCACCTGTGAAGATTAGCTGTCTAGAAACCAGAAAAGCAGCTGGCTACTGCACGCGTGCCCAGAGAGAGGGCTCTGCGTGCCACCTCTGACGCACGTTACCATAGGTTCGCCATCACAGATCTATAGATTTCAACTCCCAGAGGTCCCCCAGCCGGCAGAGCTGAAGTCCACATCCCTTCAAAGGGGCCAACGCTGGAGTGGCAGGAAGGTGCCCGGAGGAGAGGAAGCCAGGTTTTAAGGCTGCGGAAGTGGCAAAGATGAAGACGCAGGGCACACCGCAAAGCGCTTGGCACGTAATGGATGAAAGCGTTACATACGCAGAGTGGCTGCCGCTTCCCACTGGGGCTTAAATCCTTACCACTCGTTCCTTCAACCTAGTAATAGCACGAGACAATTTGGGTTAATGTTAGGAGACGCTGGAAAAAGACGCTCTTTGCGCGTTGGGAGGAAAGCGGGCGCGACGTTCCGGGGGCTTGACGGCTTCGGAAGTGCGAGGGATCGGATCTTAAGATTGAAGTGGGCCACGTTTTGTTTTGTTTTAAGTTTCAAATTCTTCTGCTTGTAGAAAACTAGTCCAGAGAGGAACTTACTTGAGGCTCAACTTTGGCTGGCAAGTTATTCAACTTTCCTTTTGTTTTTGAGCCTATTAACAAAGGAGAATGGGAGAGGCAGCGCAATGGCTCCTGCGCTCTTTCTCCACTCCGCTACACTTCGGAGGTGTGCTTTCCCCCCCTCCTCATTTGATTGCTGTCCCAGATAAATCCCGCTTCTCTGGAACAAAGGAGTCCTTTTTGTTTTTCCCTTTTCTTTTCTGGCAGTTTTTTTGTTGGAAGCAAATGAAGCAGTCAACAAAGGGCTCTTGCCGAATTTGCTCTTCCGCAGAGCCAAAGCAGGTCACAAAAAAACTGCCTTCCCGGAGTTGTACGTGTAAAACGGTTAGTGAGCAAGCAAAGAAGAAGAAGAAGAGGTGGGGGGGGGGAGTTCAGAGAACTGAACAGTTGAGCATTTTCAGGGGAGAGGTTGCAAGGGGGAGGAAAAGAAAAAAAAACACCCCAAATCGATTGAAGAGCCAGGAAAGGATCTCAGTTCTCTTTGTGGGAACTTTTGTGTGTTAATTATTCTGATTAGTTTTGAGAGCAGCAAGTTTGGGACAAAGCCGTAAGGAAAAGCCGAAGAAATACCTGGATCACAGGTGTACCATTTGGCCCGTTCTGATAAGCAAAATATTGTGACTCATAAAAGCCACGTTAAATTCATGGTAGGACTAGATTCTAGACCCTAGAACACGCTTCAATGGACATTGCAGAAGAAACCTTGCTGGCCAGAAAGGTGTTAAAATATTTGTGTGTCCTTGTGTGTGTTAGAACATGCTTAAGGTTAACTTATCAATAGTTTGTGCGTGCTTTGGCTTTCGTTGAGATTTTACAAGTGGGCAGTTCCTAAATTTGACGAATAAAATGAAAACAGTTCTTGAATTTATCTAATTATGACCACGTTTTGGAAAAACACGCTTTTCGCACAAGGGCTCCCTTAACTTGCCAGGGTGGAAGCGGGAAAACCCAAAAAAACCCTAGCTAGTTTCTTACTTTAAAAGACAAAAAATAAAAAGGCAAGAATTATGCTGTAAAGTAGTGCTTTCTAGGTTGGCAGATGGGTCAAGTAACGGGAGCTAACTCTGCTACGCGGCACAAGGGATTTGAACTGTTGAATTGCCGACCTTCTGATCGACAAGCTAAGCGTCTTAGCCACTGAGCCACCGCATCCCTCAAAAAGTACGCAAGAAGGAATTCATGACGGCAGCAAAGAGAGGGGAAGCAATCACACTCAAGGGAAGCTGCTCATTCCAAGCCCCTTGGATATTAGAAATTGATTCCTGACAGTTTACTGGAAAGGCCACAGATCCCAGAATTGCACTAGGCTGCTGGAGGAGAGAGAGAATGGTTTGAGCATAAGACTTATGGCACTCGTGGGGCAGGAAGGAATACTAGAGGTGACATGGGAACTACGACGCCAGTTTGCAAGAGACTGTGACGGTGGGTTAGTTCGGGGAGAGGCTCTGGGCCGTGGATCGGTACAGTACCGCAGGCTGTTGGGAACCGGGCCACACAAGCAGCAGGCGAGTGAGCAAAGCTTTATCTGGCATGCAGGGGATCTAAGTTGCAAGTGTACCCCCGCTCCCCCAGGTCCATGAA